CTACCTTTAAATAACAATATTTTATTTTACTCTTCATTAGTCAGATGATTTTAGGTTCTGCTTTATGTGCTTTATGGTCCTTAATGATAGCAATTAGCATTTATTTCAAAGCGATGTGTAGCTTTCTTCTTCCTATTCATTTTTACCTTCTTGAATTCTAAAGTACAAACAAATTGGTCTTGCTGTTCCTCATACAGGACACTCCATCTTGTCACTGGGTGCTTGGTGTGGGCTGCCTTCCACGCCTGTAATATATTCCAACATTTCATGCAAGGGAGCCAGCATAGGCCAGGGCTACCTATTTTCCTGGGATGGTGTAGACTATCTTGGCTGCAGTTCAAGAACAAGCATTAGGGAGTAAAAACAGATAGGGTTGGATTCTAGGTTGATACCTTATTATGGAATCTTAATAATGCGAAGCTAAGGAGTATGACCTTTATCCTTTTAAAAATAGAAACCTTATAGATTCCTGAGCAATGGAAATGACATGATAACATTTGCATTTTAAGAAGATTAATCTGGAAGTAATTAGTAAAGCCTAGGCTTTAACCTGTGAACTTTTTAAATTAATAATTTTAAAAAATTGACAGTTATTTGAATATAACTCCTTTAAGGTGTGATCCTATGTATTTTTTTTTTCTGAGATGAGGTCCATAGTTTTCACCAAATTACCATAGAAGTCCAGAAAAACAATAACCGGGAAAAAAAAAAGGTCAGGAAGCTCTCATGTAGGCTCACTGAGAAAGAGAATAAGGTAGAGGCAGGGAGACCTGTAAAATTAGACCTAGAAAAAAGATTCAGAGTTCTAGTGACTACAGAATTGTGATACCATTAGTAGTAGATTAGGAAATTGATGGAGGAGCTAAGGAGAAAGATGTTGAGTTCGGTTTTAGACAAAAAGTCATAGATTGATAGTGACTTTCAGGAGATCACACAGCTTATTTGGACATAGTGAGTTTGAGGTGGCAAACAACTTCTTACAAACAGATTTTTGGGTTATGTAGCTATGCACTCTCCTGAATTCTTGTGATTTCTTGAGTGTACCCCAGAAGTTTGCTAGTCGTTTGGGTATTGGTAAGATGGGGTTGTTACTGTAAGTTAGATTTCACCCCAAGCACTCAATGTTCTCTTAAAAACATCTAATTTATGTTTCCTAAGGGGAGGAAGAAGAATTATCTCCATTGTACATATGAAAAAAACTGAGGTAACATATCCAAGATCATGCAATCACTTTTCCCTCTAGAAAGGAAATGAATAACAGTTGTACCTTACTTATCTTTAGAAGAATAACATAAAATGTTTCATCCAGTTTCCTAAGAGCCAGTATTACTCATTCTATTTTCAAGATCCCTCTCTAATAAAAAAAAAGTTTAAAATGTTTTTGTGAGCTACAGTTGGAATTGTAGAGCTAACTGGGTTTTGGGTTAAGGAAAAAAAATAAAACAATCCTTTCTAGATAAGATTTCGGCGTATTTGATGTTTAAACTCTGCTAGTTTTGACTTGCATTCCCGACTATTCAGACGTATCCTATTTATATTACAATAGAATAAAATTGGCTCAAGCCCTTGAAAAAGCAGTGTCTGTTCATCGCGATTTACCAAATGTTTCAGTGAACATTCTTCAGTATCATTTGTCTAAATCAGCAAACCTGACATGACCTTGGAGGAATTCAAATGAAGCCATGTTTCACCCTCCTGACAGATCAGCCCCAAAATGAGAGTGTTTCTTGTGAAGGTGTTAAAGAGAAAACCTAGAGATGATGGGAAATGTTGACTTAGAACAAGAAGATTGATGTCCATCTACATACTTAATAAAAAGTTATGATTTTTACAGTTACAAAGAAAATTACAAAGAATAGCTGACCCTGTATTCTCCATTAGAATTTCTGAGTAGCATGACATGATGCCCTCTGACAGTCTTTCAGTCACTACCCTTTAGGTCATCTTGATCACCCCTACACAGCCATGCCATACTTTACTTATCTCAATCTACCAACCCTATCTTTTTTACTAAACTGCTTCAGAAAAACTGTCCAAAATTATTTTTATCAGAGATGTCATACGTCATTTGGAACTATGCCCAAAGGGCTATAAAACTGTTCATACTTTTTGACCCAGCAATACCACTGCTAGGTCTGTATCCTACAGAGATCAAAGAAAGGGAAAAAGGACCAATTTGTACAAAAATATTTATAGCAGCTCTTTTTATGGTGGCAAAGAATTGGAAACTGATGGGATGCCCATCATTGGCGAATGGCTGAACAAGCTGTGGTATATGATTGCAATGAAATACTGTGGTGCTATAAGAAATGATTAGCAGGATGCTTTCAGAAAAACCCAAGAAGACTTAACATGAACTGATAGCAAAGTAAAGTGAGCAGAACCAGGAGAACATTGTACATCATAACAGCAATACTATATGATGATCAATTGTGAATGACTTAGCTATTCTCAGCAATACAGTGATCTAAGACAGTTCCAAAGGATTTATAATGAAAAATACTATCCACCTCCAAAGAAGGAATTGATGGAGTCTGAATGCAGATCAAGGCATACTTTTTTAAACTTTGTTTATTTTTCCTAGAGGTTGTTTTTGGTTTTTGGAGGGTTTTTTTTTTGGGGGGGGGTCCTGTTTTCTTTTGCAACATGGCTAATATGCAAATGTTTTGCATGACTGCACATGTATTATCCATATCTAATTGCTTGCCTTCTCAGGAAGGGAGGGAGAGAGAAAATTTTTTTAATGAAAATTAAAAATTGTTTTCACATGTAATTTGAAAACATGTATATATAAATTTCCAAAAAAGCAAAAAGAAATACCATATATCCTGATCTTTGAGGATCTATGTATAAACTTCAGAGCCACCTGTGTAATTTGTACATGATCTGAAAGAAGTTTGGAATAGGAGATTAAACTAAATCAGCTTATTACTATGGTTAGAAAGATATCTCTGTGTGAATTTTAGGAATTTTAAAATGAAAGGAAGAATTAATCAGTTTCTCCTACCTATTTTGGTTCCTATATTTGGCAGCAAATGCCTCTCCAAATAAATGATTATGTGACAGCCCAGCATTTGCACTAGAAAGGGAAGAAGTTGAAAGCCCACATGCAAGGCATATTCAAAAGGAATATAATGGAGAATATTCTGTACATCCCAAAGGAACTGAGAGTGATTTTCCAAATCAACATCCAGATTGAGTTGATGATAATAATAACAGCTAAAATTTATATATCATTTACTCTGTGGTAGGCACCGTGCTGAGTGCTTTACAATTTATTATCTCATTTGATCCTCACAACTCTGGGAAGAAGGTGCTATTATTATCCCTATTTTACAGATGAGGAAACTGAGGCAAACAGAGGTTAAGTATCTTACAAAAGGTCACATAACTAGTATGTATCTGAATTAGAATTTGAACTCAGGTCTTCTTGATTTCAAGCCTGGCATTCTATCCACTGTACCACCTAGCACCACTCCTAGGATGGCTTCTAAGATTTCCTTTTCTGCATAGGAGAAGTCCCATCTCTGATGTGTGTTAGAGACAATCTCTTTTCAGTAGTTGCAGGACGGTGATTGGTGGGAATTAAGGTGTTCTCTATTGCCTTCTATAGTTGGAGTAATATCGGTCTCATGTAAACTAGGATAATTTTTAAAAGCTATTATAGTCAACCTCAAAACTTAATTTTGTCTAGGTCATTAAAGCTTGAACCACTTCCATAGCTACCTGTACCAGTACAAAAGTCAGGGCATCTGTCTCAGGCTTCATACACACTTCTGTCCCATGTGCCTTCATGGCAAGTGAAAAAACAGGGAAAATCTGCCCAACTGAATTAATGCAATATCCTTACTGAATATCCTTTCCATACTAGGTCAGTTTCCTTTTGTTAATTGTTAGATAGTTTGCATCATCTCATTTTATTTCTATCCAGAATCTGAACTACCAGAGTGACCTGCTTAAAGCCTGGCCTGCAATACCTCTGCTTCCAAGTCTATCCTTTGGGATCTTATGAGTGCAATAATTGCCTTAAGGGAATGAGAGTATAGGACTGAAATACTTACTCCTCTGCTCAAGAATGTCTATCAAATGAAAAGAAGAGGAGCTTATCCTCTCCTTATCCACCCCAGGTGCCCTGGGGCCATTTGGGCCCTCATGGACACTTTATCTTTGAAGTTATAATTGGGGAAACAGGGAGACCTTCTTGACTGTTTTCCATTGTAAAAACAGGAGAAATAGAATAGTAGCCAATTCTAAATTGCACAGCTACTGTCAAAGAAGTGGAGATAGAAGATGGAGGACTGAGCTCAAGAAACAGCAGGTTAGCCAATTTCGCTAAAATTTAGAATGTATATGGTGAGAGCGGGGAGAAGGTATGACATGAAATAAGCCTGGAAAGGTAGGCTGCGGCCAAACTGAAGGCTTTAAGTGCCATGCTGAGGAGTCACTGTTTTTTCCTAAAGCAATAGGGAGCTACTGAAGTTTCTTAAAGACAGTTGTGCCTTAAGAAGATCATTCTGACTTGCTCGTTCATGTGTGTGTTGTTTCACATAGACACACACACTCACACACAAACAAATGGGGTATTTTTTTTTCCATTTTTATACCTGTTCAGATTTTTATTCATCCTTCCAAGTCCTACTCATGTTCTAGCTTTTCTGTAAAGCCTTTTACATAGCCCCACCCCACATGGCCTATTCATTCCTTGCCCGAACTTCTATAGTACTTAGAAGTACTATACATTTTTCCATTTAATATTATACTGAAGTCATTTAAGTTGTGTAATTTCTGAGTATGTAACAAGATTTTATAGTGCCTGAGTACAAAAACCATATTGTTTATGTGAGGTTTTTTGCCAGCTCAGGACATAAAATAGTACTCACTGACTGTATGTTGAGTTGGGTTGAATTAAATTAAATGAGAGGAATATCTGAAAGAGATCCAAATCCAGAAAGTAGGAAACAGTGGAAAGTATCTCTTAACTGTTTCCCTCTGCTTTTCAGGTTCGTTGTGCTGCAGTCTTTGCCCTTGGCACTTTTGTGGGTAACTCTACAGAGAGGACTGATCACTCTACTACAATTGATCACAATGTGGCTATGATGTTAGCTCAACTTATCAATGATGGAAGCCCTATGGTCAGGAAGGTAAGTGAATTGTACCCCAACAGGATTAGCAGCAATCAAAAGCCTTTCAGCGACATTCTGGGGATTTGAGATTTGGTGGTCCCTTCAGCAGTAACAAGAGCCACTCTCTTTATGTCTCACTTTATGTCTGCTCCAATTGAAGAGCAGATCCTTTAATGTGTGTTTAATTTGCTCTAAATTCTGTTTCTTCATTGTACAGACATATATTTGATTCACTTAAAAAACATTTGAATAGGCTCTATCTCCTGGTGCTTTTATGGTAGGCTTGTTCCTTCCTAGGAACAACATGTAAACACATTATCATGATTCAAAAGATCAATAGAAAGCCCACATATAGATGTAGAAATATTTCCCCTCTGACCCCTTTTTTTGCTGGAGTTGCCACAGTTTCATGAAAATTGCTTAGTTTTAAATGTCATCTTAAATTGAAAGAAAGTGTGTGTTGTGTTCTAAGATTTCCGCTTAAATAATCAGTTTAAATCCTGTTCTAACATTTCACATTCTAATGAAGGTGACCTCGGGAATTTCCCCCAAAGCACTTAGCTTAATTTCTGAAGAGCAGTGTAGTGGAGAGAAAAAAAATCTAAGAGTCTAACTGGCTAGATTACAGTTTTTAGGCCTGGATGGCACTAACTGGCTATGTGACCTTTGCCAAGTCAAGACTTCCTTAGCTTTCTATTCCATCAAATTTTTCTGTTAAAAAAATTTTGGACTCTAAGGGCTTTTCTAGCTCTAACATTTATTGGGGTTAATTGATATATACCCAAATCTGCATTATTTTTTCCAAGAGCAGGAATTCATGAGGAATTGTCTCTAGAGTTCTCTTTGGAATTGTTTAACTGTGTATAATAAAGTTGCCATACACCCCCTAGAACTCTCTTCTCTGCTTCAAAGGAGAAGTGGCTGCCTCAGGGCCTTAAAAAAAAAGAAAAAGAGGAAGAAGAGAAAAAACATCAACAGAATTAATCAATACATGGGAAAGGTCTGAAAATTTATGCAGTGTTCCCCTCCCATGAACTTGACACCTCTGGAAAGGGATATCAGGGGAGGTGAGAGATTGGGAAAGGCTTTCCATAGAAGGTGAGATTTTAGCTTCCACTTAAAGGAAGCCAAGGGGCAGAGATAAAGAGGGAGAATATTCCAGGCATGGGCAACAATCAGTGAAAATGCCCAGAGTTGGGAGATAAGAGTGTCTTGTGTGGGAAGAACAGCCAGGAGGCCAGTGTCACTGGATCACTGAGTCAACGGGAAAAGTGTAAGAAGACTGGAAGGGGAGAGGTTGGGGGGCTCATGGCAAGGCTAAAAGCCATGTGGGAATCAGGTTATGAATGGCTTTGAACCCCCAAAAATGATATTATATTTGATCCTATTAGTGAGAGGGAATGAATTTAGACACAGTCCATTCCCTCCATGAACTTATTCTTAATACTTGCAGTTTTACCTTTTTTTTATTTTGGTTTCCATCTATACCCACAGAAATAAGTATAGCAGTATAACAGACAAATATCAAACCTGTTACGTTCTGCTCTACTTAGCATAATTTTATTTCCCTTAACCAAATACCTGCCTTGAACCAGACTGAGTAGAAATATAAATAGATTGTTCTCAGCCTTTGTACTGATGTCTCTGCTGTGAGAAAGATACAGGAATCAAAGCAGGTGAGTCAATCAATCGCTATCTGGGTTTGAGCCCATTCTCTTAGGAATCCAGGGCTAACTTTGTGTTATTCTTCTTAGAAACAAAATATGTTCTCCATCCTCTATTATGCTATTTTATTTTATCTCTGTTATGATGACAGAGTTTTACATTAGGAGGCCTTAAATTATAAATTAAATACTAAATATTAATTTGTTACTGGAAACATGAAGTTTGTAGCAGTCTTTAGGGAGGAAGTGCATTAGGGGAATAGGGGAAGAAACATGACAACTTCACTAAATAGAGATTTAGTTGTTTTCCCAACCTTTATGAAGGGACAATAGACTGATGATATGCTTCCAACTTCTTCACTCCCTTCAGGGGCATATATTTGACTCTCCATAATCACATTAAAAAGACGTTCTTAGTACCTCAGTTACCAGACTAGTAATCTTGGTTTGTCTCCTTTATTGGTACATGGGATTAGACTGAATGTGACTATTATATGTCAACCATGAAGAGATGTTTTTTGAAGGGTAGTCTCCTCTTTGGTTAAATTCAGTCTAATGACCTAAATAACCAGGACTTCTTTCTGTTTTGAACAGTTGCCATTCCTCAGTTGGTCTAGAAGACAGTAGAAGTCTACCTGCTATAAATCAACTGTTCACTGCATCCATGAAACATGACCAATGAGTCAAACCCTCTCCATTAAATCAGAATTTTTACCATATCTATGTCCAGTTTTTTTAGCCAAGGAGCTTAAATTAAAGTTTAAACCTTTAATTCAGGGTTTCATTCTAATAATGGGACCTACAGTTGAACTTTCTCATAGAATAGGTAATGTCACACTTAAGTTGGAGAAAAGGGTTTTGTTTTTTGTTGTTGTTTTGGGCCTGGTGTCTTATTTCTCTTTGTATAGGCCACTTCTTTTTAAGGAAACTCCCTCTGCCAATTGCAATTTACAGAGTTTCCTTTGTTATCAAACAGTTAAGTGCTTGGCCATAGTCACACAGCTGGTGTTACTAGTAATGGAAACTGAACCCCAGGTCTTCTTGACTTCTGAGGCTGATAATACCACACTGACTTTGAATTGTCATTTGTTGTTCTTTTTCCCTAAACTGAATGTATTTTATCTGACCAAGTTTAGATCTTTGATGTGGGAGTCCTGGAAGACTCTAGTAAATTCATATTATTTTGAACTTTTAATCCACCCCAAGGCATATAAAGGTATAAATGACCAATGACTATACCAAGAACAAAGTGTAAATCACCTGTTGCTAAGTGCCAATGGACTTTTATGACAGAAAACAGTTAGATTATTTCATTGCGTGATTTCTGTGTTTGAAGAGAGAGCTTTACAATTTCTTCTAATAATAGAAGCGTAACATTTAATAATAGCACAGTTGAGTGAACTGGGATTAAAAACTATTCAAAATTTTTAGACCTTTTTGTTTGGAAGAGTTCTTTGTAAAGCACAGTACTAGTGTTAAAATACAAATAGGCCATTGGTAGAATCAATCAATATTCAAAAGCATTTTTCAAGCACCTACTATGTGCTAAGCATTGTAGTAAATATTACAAATACAAATAAATCCCTACTCTCAAGGAGTTTACATTCTAATGGAGACAAATACATATGTAATAATATGTGGAATAAGTATAAAGAGAATAAATACAAGGTATTTAAGGATGAGGGCCCTAAAAGTTACCACATCAGGAAAGGCTTCATGTTGAAGGTGATTCTCGAGCTAAATCTTAAAGGAAGAGATGGATTCTATGAAGTAAAGCAGGAAGAAGAGAATACATTGTAGGCATGGAGGAGAGCAGGTGTAAAGGCAGAAAGGCAGTAAGTGGGTACCCCATTTGAGGAATAGAGAGGCAGCCAGTTTGGCGATGTCACGCAATACAGGAAGTAGAGTAATATATAATGAGAATAGAAAGATAAGTTTTGAAAAGCCTTAAAAGCTAAACAAATGAGTTTATATTTTCTTCTAGAAGTAATAGGAAGCCCTTGGAGTTTTTTGTTGTTGTTATTGTTTTGTTTTTGTGTAAGAGAATGACATTTGTTTTCTGTGCTTATGGAATATCACTTTGGCAGTAGTGTAGATGATATGCTAGAGTGCGGAAAGATGAGGCAAGGAGATGAACAAATGGCACATTGTAATAGTCTAAGCAGGAGGTGATGAAGTGGTGCTTATGGATTAGAGAGAAGGGGGTCAGATGCAAAAGATGGTATGAAGAAACATAGCAAAGTTTGGCCACTGAACAGCATGCTGAGGGAGAGGGAAAATTTGATACTGAACATGGGAAACTGGAAGAATAGTAATGCCGTCCAAGAAATAGGGAAGTTTGGAAGGTGAGTGGTTTGGGGAGGTAAGATAATAAATTCTGTGTTGGGATGTGTTAAGTTGAAATGTCTCCAGTTTGAAAGGTACATGACAATATGCAATACCAAATCTCAGAGGAGAGGCAGGATAGATATGTAGAGCAGCCAGGAGAGCATGGTTAGCAGTATCATGCAGCAGAGAACTCAAGCAAGAAAAGCATCCCAGAAAAGTGTCATATATGGCAAAGAGCTGATTGGTAACTTTGGGAAGAACAGTTGCTCTTGAGTGATGCAGTAGGAAGACAGATTATGAAGAGCTGATGAAAGAGTCATAGAGAGTAGAGACTGCATTTTCTAGAAGTTGAGGGGAGAGCCCCAGCTCAGACGTCCCCTTATTTCTCACCTGGCTGCATTACTCTGAGACTTCCCTGTCTGACTTCTCCTCCATGCCCTCTAGTTAAATACCATTCCTCCCTTTCTCCCTTGCTTTTCAGCTTCCTCTTGTGTTTTATCTTCCCCCATTCAATTAATTATAAGTTCTTTGAGGGCAGGGACAATCTTTCTCTTTTTGTACTTGTATCCCCAGCATTCAGCATATTGCTTGGCACAAAATAGGTGCTAATAAATGCTTATTGACTATTGATTAGAAAAAAGTAGAAATATAGGACAATGGCTTAAGGAGATAATAGGGTTTTCTGAATATTTTTAAAGTTGGGAAAGACAGAAGTGAATGCTTAAAGGCAATAGGAAAAAAGCCAATAGAGAGATTGAAGATCGATCACAGAGAGAGGCTTTGATTGAGGAGGCAATCTGATGGAGATCATAGGAGGGGATATGATTAAGGGCAAATGTAGAGGGTTTGCCATTGGCAAAAAAGAAAGACTACCTTATCAGAAATTATGGCAAAGGAGGAGATAGGAGAAGTATCAAAGAGTTTTAAGATGAATAGAAGGATAGAAGAGGGAACTCACGGACAATGGCCTTAGTAGAATTAAGGAATAATAAATATTTTCCTACCCAACCAGAAAACATCCTTTTCCTCCCCAACCCCACCCCCCACACATACCTCTTATAGTTGCAGGTAAATATTTAGTTTGTCAGAGATTACATTTCACCAGAATTTCATTCTCTTTCCTTGAGAGATCTTAGAAGTAACTCCTATTCCTCTAAGCATTGTCATTTTTGAGAGTGATTGCTACACTATCTACCTCATAGGATTGTCATAAGGAAAGCACTTAGCAAACCTTAATGCACTATATTAATGTGAGTTGTTATCATATTAATTACTCAGAACTTGTGTCAAATAAACCTAGTCTTACCAGCCATTTAGTTGGCAGCAAAAATCTTTCAGGCCTTTCAACTTGCCATGCCGTGCCTTTGACATATGTAACTAAAAACCGTCAATGGAATAGGATCACTTCATGAATGTTGCTTTTTTCAAAGATTTAAGTAGAATTTATTGTGATAACAAAGTTATATCTTGGCCTTGTGACTCTTTGCCCAGTTATCCTCTTAAATATTAAGTTATTTCTTGAAGGCTTTAGTTTAAAGATTTTGAGTTTTTTGTGTGTTTTCTTAAAAAAGGATAGTAGATGAAATTTGATTAATGTCTTAAATGAATAAAGAAGTAAGAATATCACTGAAATTTCTGCCACTTTCAAATTTATTTCCAACTCTATAATCTTGAAGTGCCATTGTTGCAGTACTCTCTGTTCTAAAACAGAGATACAGTAGAGACTTTTTCTTGATACTGAAGTTAATTGAGTTTTAAAGAACAGTTTTGTATTCTAGGGCTTCTAGGCCTGAGAAACGTTAGAAAGTTTTAAGATAGACACACTCACATATTGTCCCTATACAACTATTTGTTTCACATATGTTCTTGGTTAAAAAAAAAAAGAATACAATAAATGTCAATTCTAATAAATAGAAAAGCTTTGCTGTTTGGGTGACAGTATTAACACTAAGCATTGGGCTCTGACCTGTGTTTCTTTTTCTACTCTACATGCATACAATTCATCAACATCTCCATTTATAATTTGCTAGTTGTGCCCTTCAAATCCTGCCACTGATAGGTAGGCTCTGAATGGGGCATGATGCCATTGTCTCCTTGAAGATTTGTTCTATGCAGACAATTCCATTAACTCAATAATGTTTTAGTTTTCAGAGATTCCTTTTCATGACAGTTGTTGCAGGGTGTAATAAAATTGTTTCCAGTGCAAAGCCGAGTCTTACATTTTCAACCGAAACTATGCGTTTTGTATTAATCTTGACTTTGTTTCTTGTAGTTCCTCATCTTCTTGAGGTCAAGCAGCTAGCCTAGTCTATTGGCTCAATTAGGCTGGTCTTCCACAATTGGAGTTCCTTCCAAGCCAATCATTTAAGCTACAGATAAATGTTATTTTTCCCTCTCCTTCTCTTCAGGAACTGGTGGTAGCTCTGAGTCATCTTGTGGTTCAGTATGAGAGCAATTTCTGCACAGTAGCCTTGCAGTTCATTGAAGAAGAAAAGAACTACCCTCTGCCTTCTCCAGCTGCCACAGGTACGTGTTCACTCTTTGTGTAAATCTGAAATACTCTGACCTGCCCAGAACCATGGTTATTCTGAAATAATAACCCTAGTCTACCAAAAAAACTACCTTCTTATGGATTGTTTAATTTTACTAACTCCTACTTCAGGAGAATGGTGTGTTCACAGGCTTTTTTGGTTATTTGTCTAGCTTTGAATATTCACCAGCTGTTCCATATGCTATTTTCTTTCTTTTCCTTGTTCTCATGTGTTTGGCTTCATTTAGGGAAGAAAAAGGAATTGCCACTGACCCACTTATTTTTCCTTATTTAATGTCATTTTGGAAATTGCATATGGTGAAAAATCTCTAAGGATGACAACTGCCACAACAGGAACTTGAGGAAGAGAAAATTGAACTCTCCCTGTGATGAGTGATTTAATCATTCCTTTGTCTGTAGCTGTGAATCATGTTAGAAACCTATCTTTTCCCTCTATTTGTCCTTTTAACTGCAAATTGTAGTCATCTTTAACATTTACATTTCATCCTTAAAAGAATCTCAAAGGACAGGTAGAACTGCCCTTGTTTCTAAAATCCACCTATGTCTGCAGTGAGGACAATGAGCTGTTTTCTACAGAAAAATTGCATTTAGTAACTCTGGGAAGCAGAAGGTGAATAAACTTGTTCAGTGAAAACAGACAGTGAAATTCAGAGAGGCAGATTACAACTAGCAGATTTGAAAACCAGCCAGAACACCAGGGCTGTACACCATGCGGGGTCACAGTTGAAGGAGTGATTCAAAAAGAAACGAACCTCTACATGTATCATTAATAGCACTTCTGTCACATACTGTTTTCTTAGAGGTCATCCATCCCAGAAATAATTATGGCCAACTCTCATTATTACATTAGGAAAATATACACCTCTCTGAGCTACAAAATTTGTATTTTTTATCAAGTTTTTTCCATTTTTATCCTTCTTAATCATTGAGCTCTTTTGCTTTGTTAAAGTGCATCCCACAAATATCAGATACTTCCCACACTTGAATCTAGCAGTGATAGCCATTTGTTTTGTTTTGTTTGACCCTTTGCTCCAGGAATCATTTTTCTCTACAATTGTTGCCACCTAAGAAACCTTTGACCAGTTGGAAAATGTACTTCTCTGTGTCTGTCTGCAGTTTACCCTTTTTTCTTCTTTATGTTTTTTTCTTCTTTCCAACTAGAGGGGGGAAGTTTGACACCTGTGCGAGATGGTCCATGTACACCTAGACTTCGCTCAGTCAGCTCCTATGGAAATATTAGAGCTGTTACCACAGCAAGAAGTTTGAACAAGTCGTTGCAGAATCTGAGCTTGACAGAAGAATGTAAGACAATAGGATTTGCTGTGTTGAAAGGGGGTTTATCTTTACTACTTTTTCTATATATAGTCCTTCCTATTCACCTTCTCTACTGGTATACTTTTGCCATGAAATGCCATCTGGAATGACCTATGTGTGCAGCAATCCAACAAATCCATCTTGATGACTCATTTTAGCCACCATTGGATAATCCATACCTTCTAACTTATAATTAGTAGACATTAAGTATATTCAGTGTTTATTGGGAGTATATTTCTTTTCAAAAGAAACATAACCTCTGCTTGTATGTTGTATGTCTGTGTGTGTCTGTGTGTGTGTGTGTGTGTGTGTCTGTGTGTGTGTGTGTGTGTGTGTGTGTGTGCACATTCTACTCACTCTTAGGTTAGTTATATACTTTAAAAGCATGTAATTGTAAAAGACCAAGTGCTTGGTTACCAGAAAATAGTACTTAACTTTTTCTTCTTTTCTCCTGCCTTGCTTTTGGACAGCTGGAAGCTCTGTTGCATTTTCCCCAGGCAATCTCAGCACCAGTAGCAGTGCAAGCAGCACCTTGGGCAGCCCTGAAAACGAAGAGTACATTCTTTCATTTGAGACAATCGATAAGATGAGAAGAGTCAGCTCTTATTCCTCACTGAACTCACTCATAGGTAAGCTCCCTGTTTTCTTTCTTCTCTTGAGAGCTTTTCCATCTCGGAGATTTGTGATTCTGTAACTCTTCCCCAACTGATTCTTTGTGCTTTCTTACTACCATGAAGATACTCTCTGTAAAGTAAAACCAAACTTTTCCACAGTATTTCCACATTAAACAGTTTACCAACTGAATAGATCAATTCCTCAGATTCTCTCACTTTAGAGAAATGTACAAGCATTATGTGGAAATAATCAGGAGTTGAAATGGACAGTATACTTAATTATCCTCTCCTTAACTAACTTCTATTTTTTCTCTTTGTGTCTGTTCCATATATACTTAAACCCTTTATTTGTAAAGATGCTTTCCTAGCTGTTCTTTTACATCTATAGTTGAGCATATAATTTCAAGGAAGAACAGGATGGATGGACATGTAAAAATTTAGTTTGCAAAAGTCTACTGAAATCTTCCATCTTCCTTTTAGGTTTGAGGTAAGCTAAGTTACAAAGGTTAGAAGACTTTTTTCCTATCCTTGATGCTCTGATCCTTGAAATGCTGAGTTTTATTATGTCCCACATTATTGCATCTAAGAATTCTATTATCATATACTCAGTTCAGGAGAAAACACCCTCATTTGGATGTCAATTCAACCATATTCATTTATTCATCATCTCCTATATGCTAGGCACTGTGCTAAGCACCAGGGATACAAAAAAAAGGCAATAACAATCTCAGCTCTCAAGGAGCTCACAGTCTAATGGGGGAGACAGCATGCAAACAACTTAAACAAATAAGATATATGCAGGATAAATTTAAATTGATCTCAGAAGGAAGGCACTAAGGTTAAGGAGGCCTAGGAAAGGTATCTTGTAGAGGGTGGAATTTTAGTTGAGACTTGAAGTGAACAAGACAAATCAGGAGGCAGAGATGAGGAGGGAGAGCATTCTAGGCGTGAGAGGCAGCCAGTCCAAAGTCAAAGAGAAATGAGATTCTATGTCCTCTTTGAAAAACAGAAAAAAGGCCGATGTTCAAAGGAGTCTCAGTATGGAAGGGGGAAGATAAGTTGGAGCTAGGTTAGATTATGAAGGGTTGTAAAAACTAAGCAGAGAAATTTATGTAAAGTGAAAGGATTAGCTATTTTACTAAATGACAGTCAGCATCCATAAGGATCTTGACAGGCTTGGTCATCAAGTTGAATCTAATAAGATGAAATTTAATAGGAAATCATGTAGCCTTGCACTTAGGTACAAAAAAATCAATTTTACAAGTACAAGCCAAGGGAGACATGGGTCTACAGCAATTGTTCTGAAAGGGATCTTGGGCTTTTAGCAGATCACAAGCTCAATATGAGTCAGCAGTGTGCCAAAAATAGCCAGGCATTAAGAGGGGCCTAGCTTCCAGGCATAGAGAGGGGATCATCCTATTTTACCCTGTCCTTGTCAGAACTCCTCTAAAGTATTGTGTTCAGTTGTGGCCGCTGTAGCTTAAGAATACTGATAAGCTGGAGAACGTCCAGAGGAAGAAAACCAGATTGGTGAAGGGCCTTGAGTCCATTACATGAGAAGCAGTTAAAGGTACTGGACATGTTTAGCCTAGTTAAAAAAAAGGGCGCGGGGGATAGAACACTGGCCCTGCAGTCAGGAGAACCTGAGTTCAAATCCGGCCTCAGACACATAACACTCACTAGCTGTGTGACTCTGGGCAAGTTACTTACCCCCAATTGCCTCACCAAAAAAAACCAATAAATAAAATTAAATTAAAAACACTTGGGGGTACATTATAGCTCTTTAGAATAATGTCATATAGATAAGTTATTGGAATTGTTTGTCTGGGAAGAGATGGGAGCAATGGATCCAATGTTGTGAGGAGTTCAATTTAGGATTTATAGTAGGAAAAACTCCTAACAGTTATTGTTGTCCAAAAGTAGAATGCTATTCCTTTAAAGGTGATGGGCTCCCCCTCCTTGGAAATCTTCAGGCAGGGACTGGATGACCACTCATCTGATATGTTACAGTGGGGATTCCATCTCTTTCGGACTGTACAAGATAGCCACTGAAGTCCCTTCCATCTCTCAAATTCTGTGATTCTGTTATTATCCTAAAATCAACAGGGAGTCACTGTGGAGTACTGAGTAGGGAAGTCTTATGCCCAGATCTGTATTTAAGGAAAATCATTCCTATAGCTTTGTAGAGGGTAACCTGTAGTGGGGAAAGATGAGATAGGAAGATGAATTAGGAACCGTTGTCATAATCTAGGTCAGCAGTTCTCAATGTGTGATCTAGGGACCCATTTGAGTCCCCAGGATTCTTTTGGAGTGGGGTAGACCTATAAGGCAAAAACTATTTTCATAATTATGCTAGCTCATTTCATAATGATGTTAGCATGGTAAATATTACTTGAGGTAGCCCATATAAACAAAAGCTCTTTGAGAAGTCCTCAGACTATAAAGAGATTATCCTGCTGAAAATCACTGATCTAGATGAAAGGTAATTAGGGTCTGGACAATAATGATCACTGTTTTGAGTAGAGAAAAGGGGTGCAGGCACAAGAGATTTTGTGAAACTAAACATAACAAAATTTGGTAACCAATCAGGTATGTGTACTGAGGGAAAGAAGATTTGAGGACAATGCCAAGGTCATAAACCTGAGAGACTAAAAAAATAATGTTGCCTTTCACAGAAGTAGAGAAGTGGATTTTAGGGGCGAAGTAATCAATTCTGTTTCAGTCATGTTGATTTGAGTTGTTTCTGGGATATCCAGTTTAAAATGTCCAGTAAGCATGCTGGTGCAATACTAAGGCTCAGAGGAGAGGCAATCTGGATATATAGATCTATGTGTCATCTGCGTAGATTTGTTGTTGTTTTTCAATTGTGTCCAACTCTTTGTGACCCCTTTTGGGATTTTCTTGATAAAGAAACTGGAGTGGTTTGCCACTTCCTTCTCCAGCTTATTTTATAGATGAGGAAATTGAGGCAAACAGGGTCAAGTGATTTGCCCAGAGTCACACAGCTAGTTAGTGTCTGAGGCTGGATTTGAACTCATGTCTTCCTAACTCCAGACCCAGCACTCTATTCACTACACCACCTAGTTGCCCTGCAGTTATCTTCATAGAGGTGATCATTAAACCCATGGTAACCCATGGTAACAGAGACACCAAGTGTGAGTGAGAGAGAAAGAAGAGGACCCAGGGAAAAGCCTTAGGGAATAGACACAGTTAGAAAGTGTACTATGGATAATGAGCCAACAAAAAGAGCCTGAAGAGGAATTGACCAGGGAGGAAAGAGTAGTATCATGAGACACACCAAGAGGAGAAAGCATTCAGGAGGAAAGCCTGGTCAACTATGTAAATACAGCAGATAGATGGAGAAGGAAGAGGACTAAGAAAAGATTGTCAGAGCTGGCAGTGAAGAGCTCACATGTAACTTTTAGAGAAGAATTTTCAGTTGAGTGATGTGATAGGAAGACAGATTACAAAGTATTGAGGAGTGAGTTAGAGGAGAGGAAGTAAATACTAGTGCTGTCAGTTTTTTCTAGAGGTTTGACTGATAAAAAAGGATACAGAACAATGTCTTTTTTTTTTTTCCTTTTTGGTCTGGCAGTCATGGTTAAGTGACTTACCCAGGGTCACATAGCTAGTAAGTGTCATGTGTCTGAGGCCAGATTTGAACTCAGGTCCTCCTGACTCCAAGGCCAGAGCTCTATCTACTGCACCACCTAGCTGCCCCTACAGCACAATGTCTTGAGGGGATTATAGGGTCTAGTGAAGGTTTTTTTTTTTTAGATGGAAGAGATGGGCATATTTGAAGATAGTAGGAGAAGAACTAATAGGTAGGTAGAAGTTGAAAATAGAGGATTTGAATATTATAGAGAAACTAAGAGGATCAAGGGTGTATGTAGAGGATTTGGTATTGGCAAAGAAAAGTATTACCTCACTTTCAAGAGACCAATAGAAAGGAGGAGAGTTGTGGGGTGTATAGTGTCAAAGAGTTTTTAGGTGAAGAAAAAGGGAGAAGCACAGCTCATGTCTTATGGCTTCATTTTTCTCAGTTTAGAGATATGGTCCTTAGCTTAGAGAGAGGGAAAAGGAGAAGATGCAGGAAACTTAAAAAGAGAAAGTTTATAATACCTTCTTTGAGAAATTCAGATTATTTAATGAAATGGTAGAAATTCTGCAACACATAATAGCACCTATAAGTCATAAATTTGAAATCTTTCATGGACTGATAGATAACAAATCCTCATAGCGTAAATACTGACACCAAAATATTCTGCACACATCAGCCAATGAACTGTACTGGAATTAGACCATAATCACAGATCAAATTATAGACATAACACTGATCCATAAAAGAACAATATTGTTAAAAGATGTCACTATACCAAATACTCAGCATCTCTAAGCTACATGAAACAAAAAGTTTTCAAAATATAGAGACCTAGACAAGGAAATCAAATTCAGGTGGAAAGAAGAAAAGTAAATAATATATGTTGTCTATTCTGTAGCTGGCATTGTGGTATATATGTTTTCAGCAAACCTTCAGGAGATCAACTTATAATACTTTTATTGAACTACAAGCAATTATTTTATCCATTTGTGTAAACACTCAGAATCATATCTATTGAACCCCATTCAAAAAGATGAGACCAAGATAATAATAATATTGACAACCCTTTCTAAATATAACCCATCATCCAAGTTGTAAAGGGGTAAAGAAATGGGCAGTGGCCACTGAAGTATTACTAGCCACGATGATTTCCAGTGAGAACTCTACATGCCCTGAAGTTGGTATTATAGCTGTGAAGGCCTGACAATAATCCTGAAATTCTGACCATTGAGATCCTAGTGATATCATCAACTAGATTAGCATCTCATTCAGTATGTGATGAAACTGCTTCTATGAGTCCAAGAAATAGATTGGGTGGCATAGGGTTGTAGGCTAGCCCTCCTCAAAGTGGTTGTGATGATGAACTTGACACAGCGGATTCTAAAGTAAATAATGTCCCTTTGCTTTCTGATAC